GAGTGCCGGTTATGGGTGAGTTTAATATAACCCTGGGTTTAGAGTGCTGGTTATGGGTGAGTTTATTGTATGAATTTAAACAGCAATATTGTGAATAAAGTAATGGCTCCACTTGAACTACAGTTTTATTGCATTCCAGAAAATGAGAGAAAGGGCCGTGTGTGGAAATATAATCCTGCTTATTGCACACAGATTGTGATCTCCGTGGCCAAAGGTTCCTGTCAGAGCTGGACCTCCTGCTAAAGCCAAATTGGAATTCACTGAAACTTTTGTGCTGTTAATTTTGCAGGAATAGTCATGTTCTTAAAACCATCTGACTGGGATAAGCAAGTGTTGTTTGCAGAATCAAACTGCATTTCCAGTTGTTGTGAGCAGGACAAGAGGCCTCTCCAAACTTCAGCAACTTTACACTAAAGGATCAGAGCTTAAAAAGCAGTTAGTGTGAACGCAAAGCAGGATATGTCATATTGACACCTGTTTAGTGGGGCCTATACTATCCATTTACTTTTCATTTTGAAGCGAGCAGAACAAGTGTGTCCAAAAATAATCAACAGCAACTGCACAGCTCATATCCCCAGGATTTATATCTTTCGACCAGCTGAGGAAGACTAATACTCTCATCCTTATTCTAAATTCCTTCCATGACTTGCACACCCCCCACTCCAATGCCCCATCTCTGTAATGTCCTCCAGAGCCATAATACTTCCAGTTCTGGCCTCATGCAAAGCCCCAGTTTCCATAGAACCCCTACAGTGTGGAAACAGGCCATTCCACTCAATGAATCCACACTGGCCCTCCGAAGAGCATCCCACCCAGACCCATCTCCATCCCCCTACTCTATCCCCGTAACCCTGCATTTCCCATGGCCAACATACCTAGCCTGCACATCCCTGAGCACTACAGGCAATTTCCCACAGCCAATCTACCCTAACCTGCACATCTTTGGACTGCGGGAGGAAACCGGAGCACCTGGAGGAAACCCACACAGACACAGGGAGAATGTGCAAACTCCACACAGACAGTCACCCGAGGGTGGAATCGAACCCAGGTCCTTGGCGTTGTGAGGCAGTAGTGCTAACCCGTAAGCCAATGTGCCACCCATCAACTACCTTCAGGTGCCTGGGCCCTAAGTTCAGGAGTTCTGTCATCTGCCTTGCCATCCGTCTTTCTATTTCTCTCTCTGACCTCCATTAAACATTCCTTCAAAGGAACCTTCTTTGACCATTTTGTTCACTGCTTCTAGCATCTTCTTCATGATAAATGTTGGCTGATTTTATATTTCTACGACATGCCACAGGGTCTTTTAATATGTTAAAAGGTGCTATCTGGTCATTAAGGGGAAAAATTTCTTCCTGTCCATGCCCCTCATCATTTTATACAGACCCGCAGCAATATGATTGACATGTTACTGCCCTCTGGGCAATTAGGGTTGGGCAATAGATGCTAGCCTGGGCCAGTGATGCCCACATCCCACAAAAGAATGAGAAAAAGCTTTGAAAGTTAATGTCCATCCAAAGTTCATTTAGACTGAGTGAGAGTAGAGAAACACAGCTCAGAAAATGTAGTAAGGCCTAATCCATGCTTCAGTTTTCCTACTTCCTGTTATCAGACATGTCACTTCCTGACAGGGTGGCAGAGAGAGATGACTTTCATTCAAAATGGTCAAAATGGTAGGCATTGAGGAGACAGAATTCCTATTGGAAAGCCTTCTGCCCGTTCTGTCTTACAGGAACACCAGTGAACAGGATCCCCATCATGGCGAAGCAGGTGTTGGACTTGTACATGTTGTATAAGCTCGTCACGGAAAAGGGCGGACTAGTGGAAGTTATCAATAAGAAGATTTGGCGGGAAATCACAAAAGGCCTCAACTTACCTACCTCAATCACCAGTGCAGCCTTTACACTCAGGACTCAGTAAGTAGCAGCTACTCTGTTACCACGTCAGGAGCTGTCAATTCTAGGGAGATTTTCAGCTACATGTTGGATGAGAACCCTCCCACCAAAGACACAGTCCCCCCAGCCAAATCTGGCAAAGGGTGGGAAAGGTGTAGATATAACAAGTGCAGGAGGCACATGGGAACTCCATCAGCTCATTGATTACCTTGTTAAACTTTCCAACTTCAACATCCCGGGTCAAAGTCCTTAAAATCTCTGCCCCCCTAAAAACACACGCGCACACACACACATACACACACAGACTCACACACACACACGCACATACACACACACACACACACACAAACACACACATACAGACAAACACACGTACACACACACACACACATACACACACACACACATACACACACACCCCCGACACACACACACACACACACACACACACACCCCACACATGCACACACACACCCACACACACACACCCACACACCACATACATACACACACACA